CCTTGGTGTTTTACTTGGGACAGTGCCTGGATTAATAGAGTGTTTGCAATCCTTCCCTCGATAGTAGATAAAGGCACTGCCCGACCAGAAAAGGAACAGGTAGTACCATGGTAAAAATGTGAAAAGGTATATGATTGCAACAATGCAGATTTAATAATTAAAGAATTCCTCATTTGGAAGCTGCTTTAAAGTTTGATTGTTATTGTCGAGGTTTTTATAACCTCACCATGACTAGCATCTTTACACCCAGAAGAGGATACTTTTTACTTGTAAAAAATCTACCATTCAGAGTCCAGGACATTTAGTTTGGGCATTAAGTGATGGCACTTGGACAACCCACTTACCAGTAGATGGTAAGGTGAAAAAAAAAAAAAAAAAAAAAAAAAAATTACTTAAGGCCTGCCATCATTGTGTCTGATTTGTAAGAAATCTTCATTCAAGGGATCCCTGGGAAATTTAAAATTACAACGAATTAAAAGGTCTGAAACAGATGATGACACCTGGAATGAACCATCAACAGGAGTAAAAACTGGCTGGGCTTTAGAGTCTCTTTTGAAACCAATACTGTCATATAGGAATAGAGAATGGCTTTATCACTTAACAGGACAAGTAAAAAATTGGCCAATGTTACAAGAAACGGATTTAAAGAATTAAACATACAATTACAGGCAACTTCCTGAATTACACTTCAAAATTGGATGGCATTAGATATGCTTCTGTTAAAGGAGCATGGAGTGTGTAGATATCATTAGGATAGATTAGATCATTGCTGCATTCATATTCAAAATGTTACACAGGATATAGAACATGATTTAGATCTGTTAGGCAAAATTGAAAAAGAAACAGAAACAATTCGAGAAAGTATGTCAGAAGATTGGCTAGGAAAAATTTTTAGTGAATTAGAATAAAACTTAAACTCTTGGCTTAAATCCCTAATCAAAACTCTATTTTTGCTACTAATTGTCCTTTTGATAATTATGTTGGTGTATGCCTGTCTTAAAAGAGAGTTTACTAATAGGCTTGCAATACATCATAGAATTGTGAAAGAAGTACCCACTATGCCACCAGATTACAGTCCGCCACCACCATCATCTGGCAAGACAAACTTTAGCTTCAAAGATGAAAATGAATAAAAGTGTCAAAGTATTGAAATGATTTTCAACACTTTCAAAGGGGGGAAATGTTACTGATTTTATTAACAACTGAAATTAAACTGTGTTTGATTTTAATATAAGTATAGAATTAAGAGATATTTTAGTAAAAATCATTTTACATTTATTGTATTTTGAATCTAGCAACCGACTGCTACTCTAAAATCCCCTGTACAGCCCCATACCAAGGCTGAAGGGACTGGTCATAATTGTTTAATGGGAACGGTTAGAACCTAGGTAACAAAACACGAGGTAATTTGTAAACTGATTTATAATACATAGGACTAGAAGAATGCAAGTAGCTGTCAAGGTCCAGGATTAATGGGAACTGAGGGCAGTAACCGTAACAGCTTGCAGGTACCTGCCAAGAAAACCGTGTCCTTCAGCAAAAGGTAATTCTGGCAGGGGGAGATCGCGACCGCTGACCCGTGGACCACCTACTCACATTACACACCAGAGCCATTTCTAGACATTTCTAACCTTTACTGCGCAGATTTGGAAATAGGAGGAGAATATGTTAATGATTTCTTGGAAGTAGTGTGTTTATGTATGAAGCCTTAATGAATATGTATAAGTTCTATATAAGGTGTATGATTCTGGTGCTCGGCACGTGTTGTTGGTGAGAGCGCTCCCCTACACATCTGGCCGTCAATAAAGAAGTGTCTGCTTATCTGCATCACATTGGTGTCGATAAGTTATTTTTATTCCGGATTTCGGTGACAGTTTCTGGCACCCCAGATGGGACCTCGCTGAGAGAGACTGGAGGAGTCAGGGACCTGATCAGTTCCAGCCAGCACTGAGGATTTCTCGGGGACACCCATCGATCTCCGATCCATAAGGCTCTCCGCGACGTCCCCTGGATTTTGTTAAGACACTTCTCTTTGGTATTGGGAAAGTGGGTTAAAGTCCCACTAGTGTAAGTCTGCCTGTGAGACGTGGCGAAAGCTGTGCAGGGTTGGACCAAAGGATCCTAGTGTAAAGTGTAAGCCTAGGCGTCTGCCCGTAAGACATAAGCGAAAGCTATTGCAGGGTTGAACAACAGCGTAGACAAGGGAACCTATATGCTATAGAGTTCTCAAAGGTAGTGCCTCTAATGAAAAGTTAGAAGTTTTTATGCACTTTATTATGGTACTGTTTATTTCCTCAATTGAGTATTGTGTGGTAATTAAGAACTGTGTTATATTGTGTGACATACCTTTATTTATGGTAATGATTGTGGAAAGGTGTGAGTGCAAGTGTGTTTGTAAGCATGAGACGTGCAATTGAGCACAAAGCGAGTGTGGAGTTCAGATCTGTGGTTCTGTTATCCTGTGAGGAGTGCAGCCAGAGAAGAACGAAGTGGAAAGCCTGAGTGATTGTATATTTTGTTAAAAAATATAAAAAAACCTGAACCATGGCATCTAAGCTGACTCATTTGTTTAAAAGTATGGGTAATCTTGCTGCAAATGACAAAGTTCTGAAAACTTCTCTGTTAGGATGTTTGTTAGCACATTGGGGAGATTTGCAGGATGATTTGCGAAAGAATCAGACGATTGAATATTATAATCACTGGTGGCGTCTGTATACTTTGGATGATCGGGAAAAATGGCCCATGAATGGGACACTGAATTATAATACCATTTTGCAGTTAATGTTGTTTTGTAGAAGAAAAGGAAAATGAATTGCCATATGTTGATTTATTTTTCTATTTAAGACAAAGGAAGGATTGGCAGAAGGAATGTAAGTTGATTAGTAGGGATAATTTACTAATGGCTATAACTTCTGATGATAAAAAGGTGAAAAAGTGTTGTTCAACATGTGAACTTGGAAAAGATTGTTTAAAGGAAAGAATTGCTTCTACTGAAAAGGATGAAAGGCTCGAATTAGATATATACCCTCCGCAGAGAGAACGGCATCGGGGGCAAGAATATAGAGAGCAGGTAGAGGAACCTGAAAGTAGTGAAATAGAGGATGTAGATGAAGAGCTGTCTGAGGTTGTAATTCATACCCCTGTTTCTCTAAGAACTCAGCAGCAGGTACAAACAATAGCTCCCCTGTGGCAGGGAGCTGACAATGATGGGCCGGTGTATGTGAAAGTGCCTTTTTCAGTGACAGATTTGATGGCTTGGAAGCAGGCAGCAGGAGTGTTTAGAGAGGATCCTGAGAGAACAGGCAGAGTAGTAGATACTATCATCAGAACACAGAATCCGGATTGGAGTGATTTACAAGTGATTTTAGCTAATTTGTTAGATGATACAAAAAAAACCAGATGGTATGAAAGGCTGGCAAAGCACAGGCAGAAGTGACTGTATTGAGTGGGACAACAGGTGGAATATTAGAGCAGCATTTTCTGTCTGGGGATCCACAGTGGGCATCCAAATAATGTGGAGCACAGAGAAAGACTGAGTCGGTATCAGAAATGAATTTTATATGGAGTTAAACACGCCATGCCTAGGTTTCTGAACTGGTCTAATTTGTATGAGGTGAGACAAGATAGAATGAATCTCCCTCAGCGTTTCTGGAAAGACTAAAAGAAGCTGCCAGAAAAAAAAAAACAAAAAAAAAACCAACAAACCAAACCAAAACAAACCCCCAAACCAACCAACCAACCAACCAAAAAAACCCCAAAACTGATTTGAAAATGGAAACTAAGGCAGCTCAGATATAATTGGTTGTGACTTTTATAGGACAATTGGTACCAGATATAAGAAAGAAACTGATTGATAAATTTTTAAAGTATAAAATCTTGGAGGAGTGTGAATCTGAGTATAAAACTCTTATTCTACCAGTCAGAAAACCATCGGGTGAATACAGGTTAAGAGCAGTGCATCAAATAGTTAAGGATATATATCCTGTAGTAGCAAATCCTTACACACTGTTAACAGCTTCAGAGGAGACTTATCAGTGGTTTACAGTGCTTGATTTAAAAGATGCTTTCTTTTGTATACCTTTAAAGAAGGAAAACAGAAAATTGTTTGCTTTTAAGTGGGAAAATCCACAAACAGGACAAAAGATGCAGCTGACATGGACAAGCCTACCCCAAGGATTTAAAAATAGCCCGATAATTTTTGGAAATCAGCTGGCAAAGGAGCTTGAAACACGGAAACGGGACAAACCAAAACCTGGACATTTGCTTTTACAATATGTGGATGACATGCTGATTGCTACAGAAGAAAGATTTACCTACATACAGGTAACAATAGATCTTTTTAATTTACTGGCACTGAATGTCAGACTGTGATATAT